AATAGAAACGACGGATTGAACAATACTGTTCTGCCGTAAAATCGGATTTCCAGCCTCGACCTGCCCCGGCCGAAGAGGAAGATGCGATCGTGACGAAAATGTTAAACAGGCCGACGAATCAGTCAATCCCGACAGGCTTGAGGATCGACGTACCTCCAGGGAAAAACAACGGTTAAAAACAATTATTACTAAAAATGAACAATCACGTGAATAATATTCCAAGGATTTTTTTGAGAATAAATAAATGGGATGGCCCTCTTTTGGATTAATGGATTTGAAATTTTCCAATTGTAGAGGTATATTCTGATATTTGTGCTTTGTTCTCAAATTCAAATTTCCGGGGGGCGGTCTCTGAAGTTTGTATTTTTTCTCCGTTCTCAACTTTAAATTTGGAGGGAGGGCTCTGAAGTTAGTTTTCGTTCTCTTTTCTCAAATTTAAATTTCGGGGGCCTGATGTTGGTGTTGTTTGTGTTTCGTTCTCAAGTTCAAATTTGCGCAGGGGTCTTTGGCATTTGTTTTTGTTCTCTGTTCTCGAGTTCAAATTCCGTGGGCCTCTGATGTTGATGTTGTTTGTGTTTCGTTCTCAAGTTCAAATTTTCGGAGGGGTTTCTGAGGTTTGTTTTTGTTCTCTGTTCTCAAGTTTAAATTGGGGGAGGGGGAGCTCTGATATTTGTGAGAAGTTCAAATTTCTCGAGGAGAGGGTCTTAAGTCTGTGTTTAGTCTATGTCCTCAAATTCCAATTTCCAGGGGGGTTTTAGCAGTTGGTTTTTGTTCTCTGTTTTCAAGATAAAATTTGGGGGAGGTCTCTGACGTTTTTTGTTCTCTGCTCTCAAGTTCAAATTTCGGGGGGGGGGGGGCCTTTTATGTTAGTGTTTTGTTCACAAGTTCAAATTTGGGGGGAGAGCTCTGATGTCAGTGTTTTGTTCTCAAGTTCAAATTTCTGGGGGGCTCTGAAGTCTGTATTTAATTTCAGTTCTCAAGTTCGAATTTCTCCACCACATTTTACATTGATAACAGAGAACAAAAACAAACTTCAGAGACCCCGCCGAAAATTTGAATTTAAGAACGAAATGCCACTTTTGATGACCGTTGAATTATAATTGTGATGTTTCTATCGGTGTGTGATGGCCAGGATTCGAAGTCGTTTTCTTTACGCCAACAATCATCGACTGATATTCCCATCACACACCGATACAAACATCACAATTAAGAAGGAAACACAAACAACATCAACATCAGAGGCCTCCGAAATTTAAACTTGAGAACAAACCACCAACATTAAAGGCCCCCCAAATTTGTCGTTGAGAACAGAACAAAAACAAACTTAAGGGTCTTTTGATGTTTGTGTTTGCCTTTTTTCTCAAGTTCAAATTTGGGGGGAGTGAACTCTGATGATTTTGTTTTGTTCTTACGAACAAATTTCGTGGGAGGCCTCTAATGTTTGTTATTCTGAAGTTCAAATTTCGGGTGGGTCTCTGTTTCAGTCTTGTTCAATAGTTCAAATTTCAGGGGGGAGCCTCTAATGTTTTGTGTTTTGTTCTTACATGCAAACTTTGGGGGCAGGATCTGATAATTTTGTTTTATTCTCAGTTTCTCTAAAATAGGTCCCTTATTATCATTAACTATAATGTTGCGTTAATTCGGGTTCTCGTCTAAGTTGAAACTTTGGAGGGAACCTCTGTCGACTTTGTTTAAGTCCCCACCCGCGCCATCTTCTGGCGAAGTCCCATACGACTCTCCTCAGCATCATCCCGATAGATGCCGTCTATGCTTCCCCTCTACCATACCAGGGGATGACTCACGAGTCAGAAATCACAAGGAACGGAACGCAGTCAAGTCAGGGGGACAGTGCTGACCGTCACGTCTTGCGTTTCATATTAAGTCCGGCTCGCAAATCTTCGTCCTTCCGTTCTTCGCTCGTATCGCCGTGAGTTTTATGACGCCGGAGTACGAGGAGGACTTCTACTCGGTCATATTCGAGAAGGAATGCAACGACGAGGTAAATCCCCCAATGGGCATTTCTCAATTATGCTCGGTTGCAAAATTTTCCCCCGCCGTCAGCGTGTCGTAAGCACCGCTTCCACGCGGCCGCGGGCTTAGGGGGACTTAGTAAGCGCCAAATTGCGGAAAAGTGCCCGATTTCAAAGAAGAATTGCACACAGTTGGCCCGGGTTCTTTACAGGGTGGGGGTGGGACAAAAAGGACAAAAGTGTTAACCCATAATCCTCATTTTTTCCTCTCCTTAGTCAAATCAGGCCAACTGAAACGCATCAAATCTATTTCAAAATTTCTACTTATTCAAAATAATAAAGATTCCCCATTAATTAGAGCAAAATGTCAAATTTTAAAGAACAACTGCACAGAATAAAACTGATACAAATCTCACCCCTCAAAATAAATAAAACTATAATGAAATAAATAATATTAAAAAAATGAAATTGAGAACAAACCACACTTTGAACTTGAGAACACAGAACAAAACATAAAAATTAGAGGCTTCCCTTCCAGATATTTTAACTTAAAAAATAAAAAATAAATAAATGAATTTAAAAAAAAAAAGACAAACATTAGAGGTCCCCCCGAAATTTGAACTGGAGAACAAAACAAACATGAGAGTTTCTCACTCCACGAAATTTGAAATTGAGAACAAAACACACTTTGAACTGGAGAACAAAACACTTTGAACTTGAGAACACAGAACAAAACGCAAATATACGAAGCTTCCCCTCCAGATATTTTAACTTAAAAATAAATAAATAAATAAAAAATACAAACATTATAGGTCCCCCGAACTTTGAACTTGAGAACGAAACACAAACAGAAGAGGTTCTAACTCCACGAAATTTGAAATTTTGAACTTGAGAACAAAACACAAATTTTGCGCTTGATAACACAGAATAAAACACAAATATAAGAGGCATCCCCTCCAGATATTTTAACTAAACAATAAATAAGTAAATAAATAAAATATATAAAAAATGGCCAGAAGGCGCCCCTCCACAATTTGAAATTTTGAAACACTCCGAATGTTTCTCATCGTAAATGCAAATTTCGTGAACAGTCATAGGAGAGCGGCATTTTCCTCGCCCATAAAGTAACTGTTCACCGAGCACTCTGAAGGGGTCGACCCTTTTTTTGTCAGGTCAGGGTGAAAGTTTTCACTCACCTTTCGTCTTTTTTATTTCCCATTTATTAACAAAAAATATTTGGATTTGTCCAATTTTGTACTTTTTGTTGTTATTTTCAAGGGCGACGACCTCTCCCTCCGTCCCACCCCCGCAGTGCTCGTTCTATTTTTGCGTGTAGTACGCACATGTGTTCTACGTGTGAAATTCCGAGTCACCCCCCTCGCGCCAAGGGCGAACGCAATACTTTGTCAATAGGTCTCCCCAGACGAGACGAAACAGGGCTAATCCGGCCCGGATGAGATCACGATACGCCCTTCCGGCCCCTCGGACACTGTCACGACCCACCCTCCATCTCTTGAAACGGCGTAACGCACCGAATGGGATCTACCGCCAAATACAAATATTTCAGACTCGTCTGCAAATCAAAATTTTAATGGGATGGGAACGTTTCATCACTTTCACCTAGCACACATTCTCAAATTCAGTAATTCGGTGGGTGAATCATGTACACTCTCAGCCACTCGTATGGTCTGTCGTTCACGCAGGGCATTCATTCGCTCGTTCGGTCACTTTACACACGCGACGAGTTCGAGCAATCGGATCGTGACTCACATTGTTCACACTGTCTTTCACATTACATACAAACGTATGTAATGTGGGCTCATTCGCATGTCAGTAGATAATATGGGCTCTTTCTGGGTCATTCACTATTACAAGTTTGTAAATGCGTGCTCGTTTCCATTCACGCGTTTGAATTTGTACTTTTCGCGATGTGTTCTTTTCTTTGTCAACTGGCTCGGTTCGGGGCTATGCGCTTAAAGGTCTAAAAATACAAACAGGTTCAAGAAAAATTTAAAATAAAACAGTAGGGCCGTAAAAAAGAAGGAAGAAAGATTATCAGCCATAAAGCCCCCACCCGGACTTTTTTTAAAGTCCCCTCGTGTACGGGATATCTTAAGGAGATAAAGTGCCTGTTTGAAACCGGCCCTGTGTATTTTTAAACTCTTGTTTTATTTTCGCTATTTTCTCTCTTTCTGTTTGTATTTTTTCGAATAAAAATTAATAAATAGTTAGGCCTGTGAAAGGACTTACGCCAAGGGCGTCCTTTATAGCCGGTTGTAATAGGGGGAGGAGTGGATTCCTGTATCTCGTTCACGTTTCCGGGATGGTGTGTCGGTCCGCCGAGTCTCGCTGTTGTTTTCGCCCGTTGAAAACTGTCGTTCAACGTGGGACTGTGTTTATTTTTACCATTTGAAGGGACAAAGACCCCAAACGCTCCCCTCAGGTCTATTTATTGGGGTTTCCTATACTTCTCAATAAAAGAAACTCTTCCTTTGCCGAATCCTTACTGATGAAATATTCCCAACTCCAAAAGTCGTCAGGCAAAGGTTTTTGGTTTTGTCAGGTTTTTGACTTTTTTTTTACCCCTCCACCCACTCATATTTCTGTCTCGGTCGTTCATTATCGACGAACAGTTGGCCCTTGTCCGGCTAATAGACTCCGTCGCCCTTCCCGGGCGTGGCAGATGCGTCCACCGATCTGAATCATCACGATGATGGTAAACACGATTAGTTTGAAGATCCGGACCCGGAATTTTTCTTCATAATAGAGGGGGCCAGCCATGCTTCGCATTTATCTGGGCTTTGTTTTTACATATAGAAAACTTTTTTTTAAAATCGCTCCTCGGTATTTGCGATTGTCGTCCATCCCCCTCCATTCAAGGAGTCACTGACACACGGCTTCAAGTGCAAATTTCCCGTGTCAGCATTCCTGGACATCGTGCGAACCGCAGCCGTCGGATGATTAAAAAAATCCACCTCGTTACGTTTATAATAATCGATTATAATAATATTTTCCTTGTTTTGGTTTCAGGGCCTGGACCGTGTTGTGGCGACCCAGCAGCCTGCCCAGGAGGCTGAGAACCACGTGACGGCACAGCTGAGGCCGCTATCCTCGGACCTCAACCACCCCAGGATCGACTCCCTCAGATATTCAATGGCGAATATGGAAGGTGAGATAAGTCAATGGTTCACCAAGTCCATTGGACTAAATAGATCACTAATTAAGTAACACTCACACTTCACTAAGTCGAACACTCGTTTCTTTACTCTGACACACATTAAGCCGTCCGCTTAGCCATTAGCTTACTAAGTTTTTTCGAGGTTCGTTGCACTTTTTTGGCGGAACTCCATAGTTATAGGTTGAATATGAATGAAGACATTAGTTCCAACTATTTATTTTATAAAAAGTAAAGGCTTCATTGATTTCAATACGATTTCCACTGGTTCACTCAGGTGTTCGCTGACTCACTCGGTCGAACGCTCACTTACCCAGTCGTTCTGTCACTCGTTCTTTACCTTACTCACTCAGTCGTTCGGTCATTCACTCATCTTTTGCTTTCTTATTCAGACGTTCGGTCACTCACTCAGTCTTTCGTTCGCTCACTCATTGTGTCTTTCTTTCACTTATTGAATTCTTAGGCCACTCTCAGTATTTTGCTCACTTACCCAGTCGTTCTGTGACTCACTGAGCCTTTCGCTCATTCAATCAGTCTTTCGTTCGCTCACACATTCTTTACCTACCCTGCCGTTCGGTTACTCATTCTGTCTTTCATTCACTTACTCATTCCTTCGGTCACTCCCTCAGCATTTCGTTCGGTCATTCATTCTTTACCTTTCTCATTCGTTCCGTTACTAATGTTTTACCTTACTCACTTCGGTCCCTCATTCTGTCTTTCGTTCGCTTATTTAATATTGGTCACTCACTCAGCCTTTCGCACAGTCTTTCGTTCACTCGCTTATTTTTTACCTTATTCATTTAGCCTTTTAGCTCACTCATTCTGTCTTTCATCACTTAATGAATCCTTCAGCCAATCACTCAGTATTTTGCTCACTTACTCAGTCGTTCTGTCACTCACCCTGCATGTCACTTCCCCAGCCTTTTGCTCATTCAGTCAGTCGTTAGTCCACTTACTCATTCTTTGCCTTATTCGTTCGTTCGCTCATTCATTCTTTACCTTACCGAGTCGTTCAGTTACTTATTCTGTCTTTCATTCATTTATTCAATCCTTCGATCACACACATCAGCCTCTAGCTCTCTCAGCCTTTCGTTCGCTCACTTATTCTGTAGCGCGCTCATTTCTTCATTTTTGTCATTCACTTACTGAATCCTTCCGTCCCTCACTCAGTATTTTGCTCACTTACTCAGTTGTTATGTCGCTCACTCATTCTTTACCATACCCTGTCGTTCGGTCACTCATTCTGTCTTTCATTCACTTATTCAATCCTTGGATCACTCAATCAGTAGTTTGCTCTCTTATTCAGTCGTTCGGTCACTCACTCAGCCTTTCATTCGCTCATTCATTCTTTCTTTGGCTCACTCAGTCGTTACCGAGCCACATTCGTTCTCGCTCACAGAGTCGCTCACGGGACTGATCACACGCACGTTCGTCATTGCACTCACTAACTCATTAGGCCACCCGTCGTGCGTGCAATAAATCAATCTTTCACCAATTTCCCGTATTCATATCTTTAAACAGTTAAATGAAGAGTTTGTGAAGAGGAGGGTTTACTACGTAAATGTGACAAATTGTGTTGATATTCGATAATATCATGGGGTCGAGGATGGAACGTGCTGGACCGTTGGAAAAGGAAAACACGCAAATCGCGTGTCCGTCTCGCCCACACGTAACATTTCTCAAAAATGTCGAAACTAGTTCTCAGAAATGGGTAAATATTTTTTTTCGGCGTTGCGATGATGACGAGGAGGGCCAAAATCCCGTTCCCCACCACTCTTTCACATAAGGCGGGCCAACGATCCTTGCATCTGCTCATGCTAAAGGGGCGGGGAGGTGAGCAACCATGCTTTTGTTAGTACTTCGGAGTTTAGTAGTTACTAACGGCGCCGTCACACGAGCCAGGGGGCTAACCTTTATCAGTGAACCTCGCCTTACAGTTTTGTTGTGGTACAGCCTTGTTTTGTTTTCTTCATTAGACTCGGACACTCAGGACTTGAGGTAACGATTTGTATTTTTATCGAAAAGTTTCTCAACTTGACGACATATCGGAAGGGTGCGGCGAGAAAATTGAGCCGCCGACCGACTTGAAAACCTTCAAACCCCGTGCCTCTTATTTTTATTTTACTTCCGACAAAACACTGAAAAATTCAAAATATTTTTTTCTATCTCAACCGTATTTTGCGTCATAACATAAAAAAATCCTCTACAAGCAACATTCGGCTGATGACCCCCTGACCTCTTCAACCAATTGACATAACGACGCCAGAGGACGGCTCCTTAATTTGTAATAATCCTCGTATCTGTGTATTCATTTTAACCGACGACAAAAAAGAAAACAAATAAAATCCTTCTTAATATTGGCTTTAAAAAAAATTATACATTAAACACACGATTCACACAGTCTGTGTCGAAACGGGCTCACGCTATTCCTCTTTTTTATGTGGGAACACGCACGCTGTAGTTTTTACACTTGAAACGTACAGATGATGAATTCAGGAACAATTTTCTTTTGTTTTGTATCAAACATGACCGGCACATGGTTGGCAGAGTTGTTCAATAGTGGACCACTCACCAGCTCGTTCATTTCGTCGGTGTATACTTCAGTAATGCTCTCACTAACTCGTTCATTCGTTAAATCATATACATACATCCCCCGTCTTGATTACTCGCTCAGTTGTTCACTGAGTCACTCACTAACCCGATCAATCTTTAAGTCCCAGAGTGTCGATGTTCTCACGCTAATTCGTTGTCATTCACTAACTCGGTCGAGTTAGACATTGGGTTCATTCATTTGGTAAGTGTATACTTGTGTTACATTGTGCCACGCTAGTTCACTAAGTAGTTCGCACGCTCGTTCTTTGAGTTAGACACTTGGTTCGGGCATTCGTTAATTGTTCAGTGATGCGGTTACTCATTTATTCATTCATCGTGCCACTCTACACATCGTAGTTAACTCGCTCTTTCACTATGTCTCTCACTCGCGTGTTCACTATTTTGTTCTCAGTTGTTCACCAGTTCGTTCATTGTGCAGCCGAACAGCTCTTTCACTATGCCCCTCACTCGCTCGTTCACTATTTTGTTCTCAGTTGTTCACCAGTTTGTTCACTATGTCGTTCTTATGCTCATTCATTTTGTCAATCATTTGCTCATTCACTGAATTGATCACATTCGATCAGTATGCCACTCACTAGCTTATTCATTGAGTCTCTTAATAAGTTAATCCCTTCTAAATGAATCTTAAGTCGCTCAATCCTTCTTTTGTTCGGTTTTTATCTTGTATCAAAATAACCCAATTGTTCATTGAGTCGCGTTGCCGCTCGATCGTCCATAAATAAACTTTAAAATTGAACGGCCAATCATTTAAGATGAATCATGTAATTGTTAAGATAATGCATCCGCAAGCAGGAAGTGTACACAAGTTTTGTCATGTTTTTCCCTTCCAGATACGCAGGATGTTGATTTGGATGCGATTCTGGGCGAACTTTGTGCCCTAGAGAGTGAATATGAGGAGGCGATACGAACTTCTAATGTGCCAAAAAGGAAATCAGGTAAACATTGTTTATTTTATTTTTATATTATTATTTTTAAGTAAAATTACGTTCCACTTTCAGTTGAATTAGGCACAAGAGAGATACCTTCGTCTAACAACAACATGCACCACTCATCTCGTCTGAGCCAGGTGTCGACAGCTTCAGCCGTCCCGAGTCAGACGTCATCAGGTACGAGGACCCACTCGCCAGACAATGACAGTGCCTTCTCAGATTCGGTGTCACTCCTGTCGAGTGAAAGCAGCACATCTGGCGGACACCATGTCAGCTTCGTAAGTGCAAGTCTGACCCAATCTGTCACATTTGTTTTAAAACATTTTTCCTCCTTAGGCTGACGTGCCGACGCCGACAGTGGGCATTGCAACAAGTAAGGCTGAAAAGATACGCCTCGCAATGCAGAAAATGAAAGAAGCATCCGTCAAGAAGATATTCATCAAGGTCTTCAACGATGATGGAAGTGTCAAGTCGTTACTCGTCGATGAAAGTAAGCCCTGGTTACACCATCTTTTAATAGTTTTGGGTCTGGTTTCAATATTACAATTTATTTATTGTAGCGATGACATGTGGCTATATTACGCGAGTGCTGGCCGAGAAAAACCACAGGCCATATGACCCGCGTTGCGCGTTGGTCGAACATCTGACTGACCTGTCGATGGAGAGAGTCTATGAGGACACTGAGATCCTTGTAACCGAGCTGATGCGTTGGACATACTCGTCCAAAAACCGTCTGCACTTCACATGGGACAGGGTCGACAAGACGCTGCTCGTTGACGCACCTTGGCTGTTCACAGGGGCTGCCCCAGATGGCATGATGCCACCTCATCATCATGGTGTCTCCCCGAGAAATCTTGACGTCCTTGAGGTAAGATTTTACACCAATTTTAAATTAAAAACTTATTAAAATTTTTCTTCTTATCAGGACTTCTTTGCTGGCTCCGGTGTCCCGTCAGTAGAAGGCCCATTGTACATCAAATCCGATTCGTCACGCAAAGGCTGGAAAAAGTACCACTGTGTACTCAGGTCCTCAGGTCTTTACTACTGGCCTAAAGATAGGTCAAAGTGCTCGTCGAAAGATCTGGTCTGTCTTGCAACATTCGACGTTAACACGGTAGGTGGTCCATTTTTACATTTCCAAACGTATGAACGCATAAATCCACTGTAGTTAAAATTACTAGTGATTGAAACGACCACCAAAGCCTTCAGTTCCATCGATCATTCATTGCTCCTCTCTAAACTTTTGCAAATATGCCATCTGATGGATCCATCTTTCTTTACATGCTGCCTTCAATCAGTTGCTATTTCTAATGGCCACACATCTCTCTTCCTCCCCTTTTCAGGTGTTCCTTAAGACTAGCATTTCCTGTATTGTTTTGCAGACTATATCCTCTAATTCCTTATATTTGTATAAGAGTTTATACCAACTTCCAAATTTGTCAGTCCTTCCATTCCTCTGACTTTTGGCTATCCCCAGCATTCAGGAAGGTGTAATTTCCATAAACCAATGGCTCATAAAAACAACTTAAGTCCCAGGAAGTCCAAAGCTACCAAATTTCTGTGACCTTACCCTTATTCTTAGGGGACTCTTATCCCAGAACAGAGTATTTTTGCTCTACCTTCTCTTTCATTCACATTCACTCTTTGGTTTTTTCTCTTGTCACCATCGCTCATTTTCCAGCTTCTCATTTGCGCATTCTCACTTCATTAAAATTTCATTCTTGTTTTTACATTATCACACTTTTCTTCACTCACACTTTTTCATTATCACTCTTTTTCATCATTTTCTCAAACCCACACTCTTCATTCGCCTTAATTCTACTCACACATTCACAACCACTCCATTTTTCCCTTCTACTATTGAAACAATCATTCTTCTCTCTATTCATCTTTCACTCACATTCACTCTTTACAGTTTTCTGCATAATAGCCCAGATTCCAGCTTCTCATTTGCACATTCTCACTTTCTTAAAAGTTTCATTCTAGTTTTAGTCGTTATTGCCATTTTCTTCACTTATCCTTCATCACCCTTTCTCATTACTTCCTAAAACTAATTCTCTTCACCTCCACTCACACTCATTCACATTTGCCATATTTCTCACTTTGACTATTGAAACACTCGTTCTTCCCACTATATTTCTTTCACTCTTTGACTTTTCTCTCGTTCCCGATTTCCCGTTTCTCATTCATACTTCATTAACACGTTCATTCTAGTTCACATTTATTCATTAAAACCATTTTCTTTCCTCCCACAATCGCATATTCACTTGTTTCACCTTGTTCTCACTTGCACACCTTACATATCACAACCTTTCATCACTCTTTCTCCACTCACACATCCACAATCGTCCTATTTTTTACTTCTGCTATTGAAGCGTTCATTTTATTTTGTCTCTTCACTCCACATTTAATTTTTGGCTTTCTCACTCATTCACAGACGTTCTCACAGTTTTTCTTCATTCCCATCATCCACTTTATTGTTCCCATTTACACTCCTTCAATATCGCCCCTTTTCATCACTTCCTCAAAATCAGATGCTCTTCATTCGCCTTATTTCATGTTAATTCACAATCGCCCTTTTTCTCACTTCTCTTATAGAAATGCTCATTCTTTCCTCTATTTGTCTTTCATTCACATTCACACTTTGGCTTTCTCACTTCTGCGATAGAAACATCCATTCATACTCTTTCTATTTCTCACTTTTGAAACTTTCATTCCTCTCTCTATTTGTCTTTATTTCACATTCACTCTGGCTTTCTCTCTCATTTAGTTGTTCTCACAGTTTTTCTTCACTCCCATCATTCACTTTATTGTTCTTGCTCGCACTTTATCAATATCGCCCTTTTGTTAATCACTTCCTCAAAATAAAAGGCTCTTCATTCTCCTGTAGAAACATTCATTCTTTCTTCTATTTGTCTTTCATTGACATTCTCACTTTGGCTTTTTCTATCATTCACAATCACCCTTTCATTATCGTGTAATCTTTTTCCTAAATGGTTGATTGATTTTAGGAATATTCATTTTAGGGTGGACCGGACAGCTTTGGTGACATTTACAAATCTACATTTGGCACTGAATTCTGTGCCTGACAGGAATGATGACATTTAAATTCTTTCATTGTTGATCCTTCTAGCTATCTTTTTATTGCCTCGAATATATGTCCCCCACCCAGAAAAGGAAGAATTGCGCATTGTGGTGTGTATGAATGTAGTAACTGGAGGGTAAATATCGTCTTGTCTCACACGGGCACGTCCATTTCAACTTATTTGTTTATTATTGTTGTTGACTCTAATGTTTTTTATAATGTTGTTTCCTCGTGCGGTCTAAAGTAAGATTGGCCCCTTTGCGGCGGGAGGGGCGGTAAAAATACACCGATTCGCATGGAATCTACACGAAAACATGCTATTTCCGTCGGTATAAACGGATTTTAAAGAGGAAGAAGGGGGAAATTTAAAAAAAACACTCCCAGGATGTCATCAAACCGGCGTTTACGTGTTTTACTTAAAAATAGTCCTTCTCGGACCAAAAATAGACCCGTTGGGACAAATTTAGCTTAGGATAGGATCAATTTGTTCTCCCGTGTTCTGGTTGTAATACTTTTTCCACCCAATTTCGTTTAACTCCTCCTTGCCTTCGTTGAAACATGAGGAAACATTTGTGTACGAATTAAATAAAATTTGAAAGACGTCCACTCATTGAAAATAATTCACTAGTTTCGTGGTCCGCTTGACCAATTAATATATTTCAGTTAATTAAGGTTTTTAGTTGAGACAAAAAAGTCAGCGTTACGAGCGGGATTCGAACCCACGATCTTCGGCTAGATACGCCGCTGCTCTACCACTTGAGCTATCGTGACCTCGATCCACTCGGACACTACCTTCCCATCTCAACCCCACTTTTTATTTCCCCCCCCCTTTTTTGCCATTTTTCAATTTTTGCGGCGTATCTAGCCGAAGATCGTGGGTTCGAATCCCGCTCGTGACACTGACTTTATTTATCTCAACTAAAAACCTTAATTAATTGAAATTGAAAATAATGTTGGACTAATTTAAAAACACAATTACATTCCAACAGAACGGTCAAGGGCCAAATGTTGAAAGATGAATTAAACGTGTGTGAATGACTAAATCATGTTGGACAAAGAAACACACACACACAGTGTGTTCAAACAACGTGAGCACGAATGACCCAAGTGATTTATTTGGACAGGCGATTTGAAATAAGTGAGTAAAGAACCAGTAGGCGAATGATGTGAGTCAATGAACTACAAGCAGATTAATAAAGTGAGTGAGCGGAAGAACTATTAGGTGAATGAAGTGTGAGCGATCGAATGAACCAGTAGGTGAATGAGTGTTCAAATGAAATAGGTGAGGGTGATCAAATAAACCAATATGTGAATGAAGTGAAACAGTGATCGAATGGGGTGTGAGCGATCGATTGAACCCTTAGGTGAATGAAGTGAATGAATGTTCGAATGAAGTGAGTGAGTGGTCGAATGAGACGTGAGCGATCGAATGAAACAGTAGGCGAATGAAGTGAGGGAGTGATCGAATGAACCTGTAGCTGAATGAAGTGGATGAGTGATCGTCTGAAGTGGATGAAGTAAATAATTGAATGGAGTGCGTGATGGAATGAACCAACTAGAGAATGAAGTGAGTTAGTGATTGAATGAAGTGAGTGCGGGAGGGATCAAATGAACCAGTAGGTGAATGAGTGATCAAATGAAGTGGGTGGGGGAGATCGAATGAATCAGTAGGTGAATGAAGTGAATGAGTTATCGAATGAATCAGTAGGTGAATGAGTGATCGAATGAAGTGGATGATAAAGTGATGGAATGACCAGCAGGTGAACAAAGTGAGTGAGCGATCGAATGAACCAGTCGCTAAATGAAGTGAATGAATGATGGAGGAATGGATTCGGTGAGGGAAGGGTCGATAAACCAGTAGGTGAATGAAGTGAGTAAGTAATTAAATGGGAGTGCGTGATTGAAAGAACCAACAAAAGAATGAAGTGAGTGAATGGTCGAATGTACCAGCAAGAGAATGAAGTACGTGGGTGATCATATAAAGTGAGTGTAGGAGGGATCGAATGAACCAGTAGTAGGTGAGTAAGTGATCGAATGAACCAACAAGAGAATAAAGTGGGTGAGGAATTGATCGAATGAACCATAGTGTATGAAACAAGTGAACAAATAGAACCATGTTTGTAAGTGAATTTTGTGAGTGATAAAATGGGCTTGAGGTGAACAAGTGATTTTAATGAACGTATGAGTGAGTGAGTATAATAAAGTGTGTAAGTGACTGACGTTGAGTCGATGTACGAATGTACGGAATTAACGAGTGTAATATGGCACAAGGACTTACTGAATAATTGTCGATTTTGTGTTCCCTAAGGTCCGCTCTGTCTCGCTTTCCAATCTCACATCCTACAAATAATAAAGTTGTTTAGATGAAAAATACACCGGGAAGGTGGTAAAACGAAAAAAAAACACTGCGAACTTTGTCTCAAATAAATTTATTCAAATACATATTAAAATAACGATGGATTTTTTTTTAAAGTTTTGATGGCAGAACAAAGCTGTGGAAAATACTGGAATCGAATCATTTTTGGCGAGTGAACCCTGGAAAATGAAAATAAATGACAAAACATTAAATCAAAATACAGGGTACATAACATATATTATTGTACCTAATTTTAAATTTTAAGAGGTGATGATGATGATGATGATGCATCAGACGATCCCCGAGTAGAGGAGGTAGAGACAGGTGAGTAGGCAGATGAGTACGAGGTATGTCGAGATGAGGGAGGTCGTCTCGTTAACTGCTTTCGGCATCTTTTAATTTGATTTTTCTTCTGTTTTTATAATGTGTCCGTCCGATCCGGCTATCGGGTGCAGACTGGTGTCGAATGACCTCAGCGGATCGGAAAACGACTCTATTTTCGGACAGGGGGGGCCTGGAAAATGGGGCTCGGCTCCTCGACGGGGGGTCCGCGAAGCATCGCTCACACCAGATCCGATTATCGGGAAAAAATCGTATTGGAAAGTAGACATGCTTGACTTTTTATGAAAGATGGTTGTATGTACTATGTAAATGAGCGAGAGCTAATGGTTGAATGACTACGTTAATAAACAATTGACCAATTGACAATGCTTGCGTTGAATGAGTAAGTGAATGTGCTTGCGAGTGTGCGAAAAATGGATTAATGAACGTGTAAGTGATTGATTGATAGTGTAAATTAGCCAGTGCTGATTGATAGCGAAAAGGTACAGTGATCATCCTTGTCAAAAAAGTTTTGGAAAATAAATTGTACTAATAGGTCAAGGTTGATTTTATTTCGTTTGCCTTGTAGGCATTTTAGTTAACGGGTTTCCAGTTGATTTCTCGTTGGGTATAAACTCGAAAAATGTTTTTTTGCGTTATTTCCGTTTGCGTTCCATTTGGTTACCAGGTGTACTGGCGGTGGTCCAGGGCCCGTCAAACTCAGCCGATAAAAGCTATTTTTCAACAATTCAACAGGGGGGGGGCCCATTCAAAAAGATAGAAAATCTGGACCTAGTCCAGGAAAAGGGGAAGGCGTAATAATAAATGATTATTGCTTCCTTCTCGCAAAACTAATCGTTGTTTTTCAACCTACAACAACCTTGCATCCCCCGCAGGTGTCCGTTATGCAGAGAAAGGTTGCTCGATGTGTCCCACATAGTCGAAGCGTGTCGTGCCTTGGCTCCCTACAGGGCGCGAGTAGGCATGCCGCTCTTTCGTTTATTCAGTCACTAATTAGTTCTTTTCTTCACTGAATTGGATGTATGATGCTCGTACGTTCGGTTACTAATTTGTTTAGTAACTAATTAGTTCTTTCATTAACTGACTCGTTCGTTTAGGCACACATTAAACCTTTTCTGATGCTGGCTCATTGGTTCATTCTCCGATCCATTCATTTATTAACTCGTTCACTTTTTCAAACCCGCGTTCTAGCGTTATGGCAAAATGTATATTGTTTTTGTTTTTTTTGTTCAGGTTTATTACGGCGTCGGTTGGAAGAAAAGATACAAAGCTCCGACTGATTTCTGCTTTGCCCTCAAGCCGCCGAGTGTTCAGGACGCGACCGGCAAGTCGTACAAGTACATCAAGTGCCTGTCCGCATTGGATTTGACATCCCTCCACACGTGGGTCACCGCCATACGGACGGCGAAGGTAAAGCCAAAAATCAATTGGATCTGTGGAGTTTTTTTTAATGTTATTTTTTATTAGCATGGAAGGCAGTTGTTGTCAGACTACAAGACTTCTTTGGAGTTTTGCGACCACGACGAGCTGACGACTCCCAGACTCCCCCCTTCGTCGTCTTCGTCCGTCTCTTCGTCTTCCTCCTCGTCTGGCTGCGACGTCGGTTTCGAGGCCGAATTCCCGTGCGGCACGATCAAACGGAAACCGGCCAAAATCCCACTAACGACGACGACAAGGCAGCTCAAATCGGCGGCGATCGGGGAAGAAGAGCTCATCGATGATGACGACGAAGACGAGCTGCCTCCCCCGCCGCCCGAGCTGATGGTCGACGACGACGACGAAGACGACAATGCACAACCGGGCGAGGCGCCGCGCACCCTCTTCGTCGGCACGTCGAGGAACCCGGATTTCCTACGGGATCTGCACCGTGTCGTCGAGAAGAAGTGGCAGGTCGCCGAGAAGTGCAGGCTCGAGAGCGGCACCTCGCCACACCAGGTCCTCGGCTTCAGGCACTACGACAGGTCTCTGTCTGTGAGCAAATGGCTGGAGGAGCACTACGGCGACCTGCCTCAGATCCAGCAGGGGGCGCCTCCGAGGGCGTCGAGCCAGTCGCCGAGCAGCCCGGGCCCTGTCCCGCCGGGACAGACGAGGGGCCGTGCGCCTCCACCCCCTCCCAGGGCTCCGACGACCGTCCTCACCAGGAGGTAGAAGTCGGAAGACGAAGGGCGCGAGACGACCGGCCGTCGCATTCTACCACGGCAACCCCACAAAAGGAGCACCTCCGCCTTCGAAAAGAAAAGGACCGATCCTGGGAAAAAGACGGATTTACGAGTGGACTTCGTACGAGACGGAAAATGGCAGCTAGTTAAAATATAAGAAAAACTCAACTTTCCCCCCTTCAATTCAAGCATTACCACCTCTTCTATAGAATTGTCGCTCTCACCACCATACTTGGTTTCCCCCACTTAACTTTCTTCATTCCTTCTACAAACAAAAAACTTTCTTGCTTTTCCCTTTCCCCTTCCTTATGAGATTTTGCCCCCACCACTTAGACCATTTTTTCCAGTCTTTCACTACTCCTAAACAAATATAGCCCCCACCACATAAATTATTCCGATATTTAACTTCTATTTTCTCCTCCTAAACAAATTTTGTCTCACCAGTAGTTCTCCTCTACTTAACAATTGGATTTCCCCTCCTACACAACTATTCCACCACTCATCTTTTTCCTTTCCCCTTCCTTAAAGAGGTTTTGCCTCCACCACTTAGACCATTTTCCCTACATAGTATTACACCACTCCTAAATAAATATCGCCCCCACCACATAAATTATTCCCTTTTTTAAACTTGTATTTTCCCCTCCTAAACAAATCTTGCCTCACCACTGTTTTCCCTTATTTAGTCTTTCGTTTTATCCTTCCTAAACAACTCTTACCTCACCACATCAACAATTCCACCACTCATATTTCCTTTAACCTAAAAACTCTTGCCCCCACCACTTACACAAATATCCAACTATATCTTCTCTCAACCTCCAGTCTCCTGCATATATTTTCCGTCTCGTCGACAACACTGCGACCCACTGATTGCGCCGTTTTAGAAATGTAATAAGCAGGGTTATATATATGATTAAAAAAAGGTTTACTGAATTTTAAAAATTGCAGAACTTTTTGAAGAGTGGGCAGATTGAACGGATAATAGAATTTAGTCTTATTTGTAGTCAAAGAAATTTTATATATATTTAATGTTTATTTTGTTAATTGTACATATGTATTTGATCTCTGAATGAAAAATTTTTACTGCAGGTAAAACAAATTGTCTAACCGTTTTTTGATTTTTTAATGTAACGCTTGAACACTTTGTCTGTACCTTTTTTGTATATTGGAAACCTGTGTTAATGATGAGGTATAAAATAAGATAATGTTTAATAATTCACAAAAAACATTGTTAACCATTAAATTTAAAGAGAATTTTAAATATAAATGAAATATTGCCAGAATGAAATTTTTGTAAATATATTTTTGTTATGGAATATCGCACAGATTTCATACGCGTTTGTTGTATATTTCAAATTAGGGTTGTAAGCTCGCAAATTTCCTTTCTAAATGTTATTTTGGCGCATGCTTTTTAATGTGTCGGTAATACATAAAATAAAATATAAAATACAGCCGCCAAATTTACAGAACAGTGTGTAAATAGATAGAGCAAATTTTGTTTTAAAGGAAAAGAAAATTAATAAATAAACGTTGTTTCAAATAGGAATCTTTTTTATTCTTGCAATTATCCAAGTTTTCCACGAGGATTGGCATTGTCAATAACTGTACCTCTCAACGTTTAGTTTACCACTCCAGAACAAACAGTGCCCTACAAATTATTGTTGTCTTGTTAGATGAAACCACCTGCCGGGACGATTTGAAAAAGAATTAAAGAATTAAGCTCGAAAAGCACATATTTTTCGAGAAAAAAAACGTAAAAAATTTATTGTCTTTTAGGATGTAAAACAACCTACGGAGTCGATTGGAAGACAATTAAAGCTCGTATGCCCTTCATTTTAGGAGATAATGGAGATCAAAAATACATTGTCTTTTTCCATATAAACGACTCGCTTGGGCGATTGGAAATAAGTATTAAGCCGGGAACACACTAACCCAATGCAACGCCATACGACTCTGACGAATCTCTCGCCTTTTCTGTTCTGTAATCTTCTCTGTATGTTTTAAAGCAAATAAATCTTTTTTTTAAACGGCCTTTGGTGTTCCAAACATAACTGGCGCCCGTGAATAGGTACAGCGGAAGTTCACAGATTTTACTAAGTCAAATTGACTTGTTATTTTCACTATTATTGCGTGATCAATTTCCCGCATTGTATTAGAACGTGAGAATTAGCTCTTAATCCGCTGTCTGAAAGAACGAAAGCTAAATTGGCCGACTTTAAAACATTAAAGTAGAGAAGATCTACTCTGGACGAAGAAATAAATACATCACAGAAAATGTCTTCCTACTACAAGCAGAGAACTCCTTCTACATCGTCGGAAGAAGAAGAACCAGAGATACGTCATCAACACGGTGGGAGTACTTTTGTTATATCTCACCCTAACACATATTAAACCTCATATCCTCAAATTAAAAAAATATAATGCCTACTTCTAAACCTCTCCTGCATGAAATCTTAAAATTCCTACCAAAATACGATGGAACCCCTTATAGATTGCGGGAGAAATCATGATTAACTTAACGCATCAATTAAACGCAACATTAATCAGAACGCTAGTACACGGTGAACATCCTTCATTAGGTGCACATTTACAATTATTACGAATACAAGACGATGTGCAAGAACTAAATTGATAAATGATTGCAGCACCGTTTTACAACTCAAATACAATACAACATTAGATGCCATTAATAAAATAGATTTTAAAAAACATTTTACACCATTACCACCCTATAAAATACCACATCATGAAAACCCATTGTTCAGACGAACCAATTACAACAGACCACTCCAGCATCAACCTTTCAAACCTCAATTTCCTGGTCCAAAAGGGATTCCCAAAACACAGTTTCAATGAGAACTGTATACTCAAGACCGAATTTTGAGAATTTTCAAAAAAATTTCATATCCCCGTATGAATTAACTCATTTAGACAAGGTAAATTACGTCACAATGAAATGCAACGTATGAAAGATCAAATCAATTCATTAACTAAACCAGATAACAATCTTACTGATCATTTTTTAGAGACAAGCCTCAAACCACCGAAAGGCACCCCAGTCAGTTTGAACTAAAAACGATAAATAAATCATTACCGTATTCTGTCGATTTGAAAAACAGAAAATGGCTTGTAGATACTGGATCACTTAAAAATTATATAAACCCCTCATTAGTCGTCCCTCCTAATATTACAAAATTTAAAGAAAACTTATAGTCAAAACCCCGAATGGCGAAAGTCAAGGCTCTGAATATATTCTTTTTGACCCAAGTAATGTATTCCCTACTGCTTCAAAAATAAAAATGTACAATTTTCACCTAAATATGACATATTACTAGGTTATGGGACGTTAAGTGAAATCAAAGCAAAGGTTAATTATGAAAAGAAAAAGTTAGAATTTAAAAAAGGTTCAAAGGAATTATTGTTTTTGATCGAAAAAACTAACTCTAAAACCAGGGTTTAATGCAGTTTCTCTTCCTGTTAGGTCAATTCCCAACTTGGAAACAGGACTAATCAAATCTGTTAATAATAATAAATATAACATTGAAGAAGGGATTGTTAATATCAATAATAATGAATGTATATGTATAATTCACTCCAATGAACTCATGACCGAGCCCATGGAAGTGGAAGAATTAGAAACAATTCTCGAACCCAAGAATAACGCGACCAATTGTCCCGATAATCTTTAAAAATTAATTAATCAAATACCTTTGTTATTACATACAAACCATATGAATGAAAAAGAAAGATATAAAATTACTAATTTAATAAAAAAAATTCCAGAAATTATTAAGCGTGAGAATGACCCTTTAAGCAGTACTAACTTGCTAAAACACAAAATAGTAACGAAAGACAAACTACCTGTTTATCGCAAAAATTATAGGTATCCACAAATCTTTAGACGTACACATTGAAGTAGATAAATTATTAAAAAACAAAATTCGAACATTCGATCTCCCCGTACAATTCGCCCATTTGAGTAGTTCCAAAAAAACCTGATGCTTCCGGAAAAAGAAGATAAGAATCGTAATAGATTATAGAAAATTAGATGATAAGACAAATAGATAAATATCCCCTACCGAACATAGAAGATTTATTCTGAAAAATTGGCAGAGCTACATATTTCTGTACTCTTGATTTGGTTTCTGGATTTCACCAAATTGAACTGGATCCTGAATCTTTACCAAAAACAGCTTATTCTACAGAAGATGGTCACTATGAATTCCTGCGTATGCCTTTTGGTCTAAAGAACGCACCGCCGACCTTCCAAAGAGCTATCTATGAATATAATATTATCCAGAATTCCGAATGTTTTTGTGTATATGGACGATATAATTATTTTTTCAGATAATCTAAATGAACATCTTAAACACCTAAAAACAGTCTTTGCAAAACTCAAAGAACATAACCTTAAATTACAGCTTGATAAAACAGAATTTTTTTAATTTTAATAAAACAGAATACTTAAATTTCAAGTACTTAGGGCATGTAATATCGGAAAAAGGAATCAAACCAAATCCACTAAAATTAGAAGAGATTAAAAACTTCCCAATCCCTAAAACGGCAAAACAAATAAAACAATTTTTAGGCCTCACTGGTTATTATCGTAAAATGATAAATAATTACCCCAAAATTGCTAAACCCCTTACCACTGTTTTGAGGAAAAATACTAAAATAGATATTACAAATAAAAATTACATAGAATCTTTCCAAAAACTTAAACTGTTTCTTCAAAACAGTCCTATTTTGCAATTACCTAATTTTTCTAAACAATTTATACTCACTACTGAAGCTTCTGACTACGCCATAGGAGCAGTATTGTCTCAAATGTTTAATGGTAAAGATTTACCAATAGCATGTTAAGTGTATTAGTTGAGGCGGAGGATCAGTACGAGCTTCTTTTATGGCATTAACTATAGATTTATATTTAACTTAGATCTTTATCATTTTACTCCTTCAATCTTTTAAGAGCGTTATATTTTTGGCGTATATTCTCTCTAGTTTCTGCTATTTCACGAGCCAAGCTAGATGTTATTTCTTCCATCGTCATCGATTTAATGATTTTTTTCTCTATTTCAAAACATTATATAGGTATCAAAACCTTTGCCGTAGCGGCCATTTTTTAATGGCGAATTTTTGTTGATCACGAGAAACCCGTAGTTGCCATCGTCCCAGCATTTTCGACAAATATTGGAAAATTCCTTAAATGATACGTCCGAGTTTACATGATCTTCATATATTCTTTTCATAGTTAGTAAATCCTGTTTGACAATAATAAGTAAATTGACGTTATCTCTTATCAAATGTTTGGGCACCCTGGTGTAACTTTGACAAAGGTAAAAAGAATCTATACCACTATGCCGTCCCAAGCAAAAGTAGGATCTAACCCTATCTTGTTTATCACAGGCGATGTCATCAAATAGAATAATAGAATCCGGGAGGGCTTTGTTTGGAGGTGGCACGTAATCATTATTGTCAAACATAAAAAAACCAATTCCTTTAAAATTGGAGAAAATAGTTTTCAATTTTACATACTTTGGCTGATTACGTATGTCATCAATTTGACAATAATAAGTAAATTGACGTTATCTCTTATCAAATGTTTGGGCACCCTGGTGTAACTTTGACAAAGGTAAAAAGAAAATAGATTTACTAAAGAGATAAACATTCTGAAATTTTAACCCATTCAAATTGTATATGTTAGGATTAAACATTAAATTAGTTTTACCACAATTAGATGGTCCTGAAATTAAGCATCTAATGCTATTGGGTAATAGGGGGTTATGTTTAAAAAATTGATTTTTATGTGATTCATTATCTATAGTCCTGACCGAGAACGATACATCTTGCTACTTAAACAACATCATGACAACTGATGTCATAATTATCATTTATTCTGTTATATATCAAAAATGAAGGTGTGTTCTGCTAGAGAAATGCAGTTGCATCATTTTTTTTAACTATCTAATTTCGCGTATTGGGTGAAATAGTGATAATTTCAATGTTACAATACGGCATAAATTAATATGACAATGCCCAAAGTCCAACCATTTGTTGTATTCATTTTCCCGAGGTATGAACACGCGATATTTCTTTATCAAAGTCAACTATTCCTTACAAAGGATTAATATAATGTTTCAAGGTTCCAAGTCCACCAATTTGTAGTATTTAGTTTAGCAACATGTAAACACCCGATGTTTATTTGTTAAACTCATCTATTCCTAATATAGGATTGGTATAATGCTTCGACGTCCCAATTGTAATTATTTTCACGAGAACACTCGATGTTTCTTTATTTAGGACTTTGACCGCTGATGGTATTAAATTTTAGGTATAAAAGACGTCGCTGGTCTAGAAAGCTTATAGTAAGTAGAACAACCTCCACTGTGTTCTCTATCCAAGCAGCAAATTTCGACATTTGAGATTGTGAGTTTTTAAAAATTTGTTTACTTTTTTCTGGATATTTAAAGACATTGATTTTTTGTGTAACTGAAGTTTTTTATTTGTTAAAAAAAAAGATTTTCTATCATTGTTATTTAAAGAGAT